AATGGATGAATGGAGAACCACATTAACCCTGCTTTAATGGGTGCCAAACATAATAATAGCCCCGTAAAACTTGGTATACCACATAAGATACCAATGTCATCCTGCTTTTACAGGGGTCTTTACTTTCCCACGACCAGAACTAGTCTGATGCAGCATTACACCCTTCCTGTTGGATCTGTACTTCCTGTTGCTATAAACTTGTTCAGGATCCCATTTTGTTTTTTCCGTCACAGGAACATATAAAGCAATTTATGTCTACACCAATGACCTTGGGTTTCTTCAAATGGAGAAACACCACATGTACATGTCATGAAATGTACCTACCATGCAATGTACCGTAAATCTCCGTGTATAAGGCGCACCTGTGTATAAGGCGCACCCCTATTTTGGGGGCAAAAAAAAAAAAAAAAAAAAAAAAAAAAAAAAAAAAAAAAAAAAAAAAAAAAAATCGTTTTTTGTTTTGTTGTTTTTGTTTTGTTGCCGAAAACCCACGCAGGGAAGGACCTTCATTTTACATCGAGGTGCAGTAGAAGTTGTGAACTTGTCACAAATAATAGTAACAACAGTCTAAGGCTTCATGATACCAAGTGTCCCACACCAGCCTCTTCACATCACCTAGCAGAAGCACTGTGTTCTATGCCAAACATCAATAGTCATGCATGATATGAATAGCATCCTCTATCTTTCTAATAATGGAGTACCTAGGATAGAACCTTGTGGTACACCATTTGTTATAGAAAACATAGAAAACATATGCGACATTGCCAGGCATAGCGCCATAAATCGAAACTAAAAAAAAAAAAAAAAAAAAAAAAGTGCGCCTTATACACGGAGATTTACGGTACACTGTACAAAAATGTAGCTGAACACATATGGATATAAAGGCCCTTTAAAAGTTATAGGCCTTTTATAGTTATAGGCCTTTGTGAAATTTTAGCATTGAGGTATTGCTCCTTGTTGCCATGACAACAAAAATCCAGGACCTGGAGTCCATTGATTTATTTGACAAAACCTAAATGATGATATCAAAAGTCAGGAGAAATGTTTGTTAAGCTTCATGTACAGTGTATACATGTAAATCTTAGTGATAGAAGGAGGCTGCATGTAAAATCAATAAAACATCATAGGAAATTTGGAAGTCCAATATTGTTGATATCTTGATTGACAACTGAAACACAAATATCATAAAATTTCCTCAGATAAGACTTCAGGCCAAATGTCCCATATAATTTATAGCATTCAAATTGTCGATCTTTACATCCAAAATGAACCAAATGTGTAGACGTTCCTACACGATAATATGGAATAACAATGTCATGTCAGGAAGCAGGAAATCTAAACTTGAAATTAATCACCTGTAAATCAGGTCAGAAGGGATGAATTACCAATTGAGTTCATCAACAAATCAATCAATCAAAAGGTTTATGATCAACTTTCTTCCAGGTTTTGATCAAAGGACCCTGAACTTTTGTCTTTCTAGGTTTCTGATCATGCTTTTAACCATTTCTCTCTCATAAAAGGAAAATGGAAGATTGTATTTTTCAAAGCTTGATAACTATTTGAAGAAGAAAAACATAGACAAACCAAACAAACAAAGAAAAGGAATGTCAGCAAGGATATAAATGTTGTTTTAAACCAAAAAATCCTTTTCAGTAGTTGCTGTGGCATCAACATATCAGAGTATTGAACAAAAGTGGCGATACATGTACTGAATGTATGAAAACTTATCACGTCTCCACGTTAATGGGCAATGCATCCCCTACCCTACATCTTCAATCACATTACACTGATAATAACCCTGTATAGTGGTATGCATGTCACATTACTTCTAATGATTGCACAGGAAAGCATTTAATTGGATTCCGTTAGATACATCAGAGGGGCTTTCGTGGCTTAAGGAACCCTTGCTTGGTGTATTTTAAGCATCTACTGAGCTCCATTTGATCCCATATTAACATTTAAGTACTTGACAGATGAACTCGCTTGATCCCTTTGAGCAGTCAAAATGTCAAATGTTATTTGCACATTATTAACAAGATCTTGGAGCCAAATATAAGGTAGAAGTTCAAGCTTTCAAGGACATAAAGATTATCAATTTATCATGGTAAATTATGGTAAATCATGGTAAATTATGGTAAATTATGGTAAATTACAAAGAGTTAGCCATATGTCTTCAAAAATTATACATAGATGGCAATATATCATAAAAAATAACACATACAGTGTAACTGCCACTCAAAAAGAATGCTACATAATGGATGTCAAATGTGATAAAAATTCAAACAGAACTTTAACAGATTATCTATTAACTTAATTAAAAACTTTAAAATTGCAAGAATAATCTAATATTGTCAAGGTAGCAATATCAAGTCTTCAAAGATTGAGTTTCAAGAAATAAGAACATCATTTCATCACCACCTACATGTAAAGACAAAACACGAATGACTGAAATGAGGGATATGAATCTTCAGCAATATTGTGACTGCCTTGTCAAATAGACAACTGATATCTTGAGTTCACAGGCGGTGCGCTCGGGTGCAATTAACTCACGATTTCGTTTTGATTTGACCTTGCTTTTCTATTGAATAAACACGTTGTTTACGTGAAACCGCTGGGAAAGTGTCGCAGCAAACCTGCCATAACTTTGGCATTTGACAATGAATCTTAAAGATCTTTACATTTTTTAAAAGAGGAATAATCATTTAAACTATACATAACATTTTTTTTTGTAATAACGAAGAAAAAATGGGGGCAAAAGGACAAGAAACTTTGTATGAAAAAAAAAAAAAAGAGTCCGAAATAATGCCTAAAATTACACATTTTCAATAATTGGACAATAACGATATTCGAATATGTTATTGAATAACTATTAAAGAAAATTTCTGTGAAATATCAATTTCATAAACCAATTCGGCCGGATGTGTCTGGTAATGATCCAACATAATGCATTTTCATACCTTCAATACGAGCACCGATCTACCGAGTCGTCCCCACATTACATCGCGGGTGATGACGTCATGCTCAATAGCACAGTCCCACACACTCTAGTTTGTGTTGGCGTTGATCGGTAAAAACGGCTTTCAACATGATTTCGTGGCATAGATTGTAATTGTTGCAATGTTTGAATTAACCCCCAAATTTCTCCAACATTTATAACAAATGTATATTACGGAAATAAAGCTAAATTACACTGATTATCTTAGCTTTACTGTAAATAAGACGGAATAACGTGGCGTCAAACATGTACATTGCCCGTACATTGTCGTGAATATCGTCTGCACCAGCACTGCACCGCGAGCCCATATGCCTAGCTATAGCCTGTGTCCATCGTAGGAGCAGTACTCCACCAATACTACTTTAAAATAATAGTAGTTGTATAAGTAGTAGCAGTCGTAGATGTAATAATAATGATAGTAATAATAATATTAATAACAATCATAATAATAATCAAATATTATTTGTAGGGGAATAGCAGGGTATTTCCCGGCAGAAGGGGGGGGGGGGGGGGATTATGCGTAATTCGCCACTCTTCATCCAATTTAAAATAAATGAAGATCCCCCACCCCCAATAGCAAACCCCTGGGTAATATATCAAAATAATAGATATACTTCATGATTATAATGATGCTGCTGCTTAGATTAATAATGGTAATAATGATAATTAAAAAGTAATAGTACTTATAACAGGGAGGTGTTTTACCCTGCTTATAATAATGATTGTTATTATTATTATTCATTATAATGGTTATAATAATACTTCGGGTAGGAAGAAGTCAAGGAAAAATATCCCAACAATGAATGACCATGCAAGAAATATATAGGTAGCTAGATACCTAGCTGTAGGCCACCATTTATTGCAATAGCATTAACCCTTTATTGCTTGCTTTTTTTTTTTAATGTTAAGTTGACTGAAGCGATGATTGTCTAACATCACTTTGTGATTTAATTTTTTTTTTTTTTAATGAATTAACCCAAGTCTTTGTTTTGTGAAATAAATTCTGGAACCAACCGAGAAGAAACCCGGAGCCTTTGTCGACACATCCACGCCATTATAAACACTCACTTTAAATTCTGGCACAAAAATCCACATACCACATGCACACTTGCATTTACCTTTCTCACAATGATCCATGTACCACCTTCATGTAAATCACTCTCCGATTATATATAGATATCTCTGAATATCATTTCATCATTTACTGCAAAACATTAACCACTCGACCAATGAATAACACAAAACAGCAATTTCATTTTAAAAACAATTTTCAATCTGCATATTATAATTGCCACTTCACTTCAGATACAATAGGCAAGATACTTCCATTATGTAACTTGCATACAAAACAGGAATGCTTCTTTTTTTTCTTCAATGCAATAACACTGTATATTTGTGTGTTAAATGTACTTGTATACTTAACTTAACATGTATACAAAAACGAAAGACTCAAATAAATACTTATATCCATGTCTCACATACTTTTCATTGTACATCTAATACTTCTTCAATAAATATAAAGCTTTGTATAAATAATAAAACAATCTGTTTTGAAAGCCATTACTTTATGTTTACTGTCATCTTTGGTTCAATCATGCGCCAATAACACGCAATTGTTCAAATGTGTACATGAATGAACATTATTGGAAACAAGTGAAATGTGAAAATCTACATGGAGTTCATAACTTGCATAATAATGTTTAAAATGGGGGCACGCTACAAGAGTCCTATCTCGCACCCCGGGGCAATGTGTCTGACAGGGCCGGTTGTAGCAACTACTCCGAAGATCAAGATTACAGTAATCTTGATCTAAGGAGACACGAACGAACGATAATAATGATGAAGATGCACGTATGACATGGACTAACCAAGTCGAAAATAGGCACAAAATATGCAGGTAATGTTGCAATGATACATGTAATGTTGTACTATGCAACATCAAATGTAATTAAAAAAGTATGCATATAAATTTGAATATGTAAAGAAACAGGTCTATTGCCAATTATCTGAACTTTTCACTTATTCACAACTTCTAAAACAAATACTTTAAATTGTCTAAGCATTGAAAGCACTATTCTCTGGAACACCAGGAATTAATGTACTAAGTACAAGTTAACCCTATCGTGTGTACCATATTGTAACCAGAGTGCTAGTTTTACACTACTTTCGGGCTTCCTGACTCCTTCACTATGAAATCACCATCCAAACTGAAGAACACTGGTAGCCAATGCTGACATCTTTAAGGGAGCGCCATTCTGCAATAAAATAGAAAAACAATTAATGAATTGAAATTCAATTATATTACAGCAAATAAAGAAAAAAAAAGAGAAATTTAACATGATTTATATTTCACATTCATATGGTTATATATTAACTCTAACATTAGACAGCATAACTTACATACACTACTCTATAACAGACATTACCAAAGTATTATATGATCAAGAGCCAGATTATGGAAAGAACTTCAAAAAATACCTCAAATGGATCTCACAGCTCAGTTAGGCATGATATTCATAAATGATAATTGGGTCAAATTTGGTCTACATGCATGATAATAACCTTCAAGACATTGTGTTTTTCAGCAGTGGCGTAATGAGCCAAAAAAAATTGGAGGGGGAATAACGGAGCTAAAGTTTTGGATATGGTGCATGATTTTTTTTTTTAAACAAAAAAAAAGAGCAAGCGAGAAAAAAAAATCTACATTTTCTAATTTTTAAATAAATAATTCTGTCACAGATTTTTTGGTAGATAATTTGATTTTTCTTTGTCTAATTCTAAAAAGGAAAAAGAGGCAGATATTAGAAGAATTTAAATGCAAATTGTAATGTTGAAAAATACAATGAGGATTTAACCAAAAAATACCCTTTTCGTGAAAAATTGGGGGTGTTTCAGTGTACAATGAGGTTAAGTTCAGCAAAAGCAAAGTATTAAGATCTGGAAATCATTGTTTCCACATTCATCAGAGTGAACAAAAAATTACTTTAGGAATATTAAGATCTAAAGCTCCTGATGAGTACTTCTTAAATGTTAAATAAAACAAGACTCTCATTTATCTTGATAATTAGACACTGGATTGAAAAAGACTAGTGTCACCAGGCACTGTGAGAGAAATTTAAAAACAAATGGTACATGTTGTTTCTCAGAATGATTTGACATCACCAAGGAACATTGCCTTTAATGACTTCATGGTGATGAAAAAAATGCCAACTCTACTTAACAGTACATATCTTACCTAGTTGCATGAAGACAAATCTGCTTGGGCACTAGGGTTGGTGAACACTCCACAGAGCCATGGTGGGATGTAGAATCTGTGATCACTCTGAGGGAACGACCAGACAGCTTCAACACTGAATGGAAGAAAGGAAAAATATTGTAAGTGAATAATGAGAGTTAACATGTATGAATATTATAATTACAAGTCTAGTGCTTGACGTGACGTTGTCGGAACGGCAGGAAAATCAGTGCCGTGGCTTGAAACTCCAACCAAATGTGGGAGGGTTGACAGCCATGTCGTTACCATGGTAGACTTATAGCAAAAAACAATTTGGTATTCAAGAATTTCCACATGAAAAATACACACACGTTCTTGCATATTTACCTAAGTACGAGGTCACATCACGTCAGCCTGGCCAGGCTCGGCAGCGGCCGCCAGCAGTATCGGCCGTTCTTCAATGCTCGACCAATGTGTATCATGCATTAGGACATCTGCCAAGTCATGAAGTTGAGAAGGGGAGCTGGAGGTTACTTGAAGGTAAGGCTACATGAAGGTTTCATGGCCCTGCCTACATATTCTATATGAAAGAAGGTGAAGAAATTATTATTTTTTTTTGTAGAGATTTGAAGGTAAAACAGGTCTAAATAGACTACTAGACTCTACAACATTGCCATTGATAAAGTTTGACTTTAGTTTAGAGTTTAGTAAGTAGGATGAGGTGTCGTGTGTAATACAGCTGCATGCACATGGATTATATGCACTTGAAATTGGGTCGACAATTCATTGGCTCCAAGATTCGTTCATTAATATTGCCGAGACCCGTGAATATGAATCATTGCCATTTATATTACGGTCACTGTAACTCATGAGCTCCGCCGCCGACGGCTTGGCGGCGGAGCTCCCTGGAGTTACGGTCAATGAAGCTAATGCAGCTGCGCTGCAGAGCAGTAGCTATCAGTCAGGCATTATGAATGGCACATAGGGTCTATGCGTAGCAGATTCGCCAGCTTTTTTTTTTTTTTTTACCTATGAATACCTATTTTTCATGGAAAAGGAATATCAAACATCGATTTATGGAAAAAAAAATACTTCATTACAATTGAAATGCGCCCTTACCTTTGTTTCTTTAGAGGGTTTTACAAAGTCAAAGATCCACTCGGCTCGGCTGAAATCAAAACAATACCTCTCGATCACTGCATGCAATCAATGCTAATGCGTGTAGACCTCTAGCGCAGCACTACGTGCTAGGAGGCAGCAATCGCACACATGAATAGGATACACAAATTACAAACGAACGTACACAATAAATACGATGCGGTTGATCGGCAAGTTTGACAGTAGACTCACGGTTTAAATTTTTTAATTATTCTTTTTAACATCATTAAGTTAAAAAAAATATTATATTTTACTACTATTTAGGTGTCATCAATTGTCACTGGTATATCTGTTTTGAGTGGAATCAGATGAGTATTGTACAGTGGTGTTTAAAATGTTGAGAATCAATAGCACATATTTTAATACACAGCCAGGATAGTAATGCAGCTACATGTGCTCACGATCAGCTGTCTGCCTAGGTTTACGTAATTTCGTGTCAATGCGCATGCGCGAGTCTTTGATCGAGCGGTGACGTCGATTTTCTCGTAAGTTTGCTGCTTCTCGATTTCTGAAAAACACCCCATTCATTTTCCATTGTATCTCCGAAAATAAGTGATGGTCACAGCGAAAATTTCGTCACCGGCACCGTAAAGGTCTCATGAATATGCATATTAAGTCTCATGAATAAATAGCCATATGACCAGATGTGTCTGATAATAATCTGAGGGTAGTTTTCGGAGACGACTGAACATGAAATGTTTGATAAAATGATAAATAGATCATCACTTAATACCATTTTTCATATATAGTTCGATATGACCATTTTACATCATTCCTGAGAGTCTGAGCGAAATCCGCCGACGAACAAAGAAGATATGAGAGAGAGAAATTTCGGTGAAAAAGTGAGCTTGGCAACGTGAGTGCTTCGATGACCGTTGAATATTCAAAACGATTTCGGTGTTATCAGTGAGATAATTGGCATGCTCCGCACCGCCTGTTCAGGGGGGGGGGTGATCATCATCACAGGTTACCAGAGCATGAAACAAGATCAGGCAAATCAGATTTACGTCCCTCAAACCCTCTCAATATCCCATCTGATTGCAGTATGAGCACGGCAAAGCTAGGAAGCAAATCTTCAGTAAATGGTCACACAGTTTGACTGTCCTCCAGACAACATGTCGACAGCATGTCTACTTACGCTCTTTAATTATTAAAAGTCAGCATTAAATTTCATCTTAGTAAGACATTTGTTCACTAAACCTTGGGAGTTCGAAGAAATGTAATGAAATAAAGGTAATCCAAACAAAACTAAACGCAAAGGAAATTACAGGTATATTATTAGCAGTGGTGCTATGAACAAATATTTTTAAAATCCTTTGTGTGCAACATTTTTTAAGGTTAACCAGAATAACCAAATCATCACCTAGATTTGAAGGAAGGTTATTTGGCTTTATAGAATGTGAAGAAATGGAAGCTCTATCATGTCTGTAGGGGGTAAATCGATCACTTTAGAACGTTATTCTACCATGAATGTCTCACACATTTCCTTTGATTTGGCGTACGGAAATCCTGCCTGTATGATGACTACATGAAAAATGTACAAGTGTAAACAAACACATGTTTTTACCAAGAATAGTACACTTGACACGATTACGATTCAAGGCATCTATATCAAAACATACATGTATTCGTAAGCTGATGACGAAATAATATTGATGAAAGGAACATACTATGTATGATAGTGCTCATGACCTCGGAAAGTATATATTCCAGATTGAACGCTGAATGATAACATAACAATAATTAACTTTGGCAGCAAAGTCCCTTTGAAGACTGAAAGTGCTTGGTTATTATCCCAGAGAGATCCTCCCCTCCCCTGGTTCTCTAAGGCAGGAATTTTTCCATTCCCAGGCAAGGATTTTTCCTTTCCCTGGCAAGTATCATGCCTGATTATATTTTCTCTTACGACTTAATATTTTGTTCATAGAATTCCTGTTCTTCCTTCATCACTGCTTGCCTGGTACTCATTAAATTCTCATTCAGGATGATCTTTATAAAAGTTCAGATTTTAGAATGAAAATGGAGTAGTGCAGGTATGTACCTTTAGGCAGAAGGCATGGACATGTTGACTTCATGCATACTGTACTTCTGCAGAAAAAATATATTGTATGATTTCAGTTTTGGTTAGGGCTTCCTTCTCAGAAAATTTATTATAAGACAGAAGCATGTTTTTATTTTTTAAATGTATGTTATTATATCGTCTGTTTGGAATCAAAAGGGCTTTAAGTCTGTGTTAAACTATTTGAGTTAACACCCTTTAGTACTCAGTTAAAGAGAAGTGGACAAACCCAATCAATCACAAATAATTTAATGATCTACGATTTATTATGATAAATTACAATGTACAGTCTGTCAGTACATTTTTACAATTGGCCAATTATTCTCTGCTTGCTCTACAAGGCAAGGGCAAGTATGGTTTCCATTCACTTGCCAGTCAACACATTTTGACTGCCGTAGCACCATGCAGCAGATATCGATGTAAAATCAACTGAATAACAGTATCTATTTCTCAGTCTTTGAAATCTCATCAAAATAATTTGTCTTTCACCCCTTTTCCACTCCATCCAGCCCTCAAGCTTGGATGAACTTCACACGAGGGGTGGCAAGATTTCCTCGAGCCCATCAGAAATCAGATCGCAAATGCCGCCGCAAATACCATCCAAACTAAGGATTATTGATCAATAAAACCCCCAAGGGAAATCTGCAATTGGCCCTCATTTCCACGAGAAGTACTTCATATTCCTGTCATTTTTTTAACCTATAATCAGTGCGCTTGCACTTTGGTAAGCCCAGCCAAGGGAGTGTGAACTCCATGCCAGAATGCTAAAACACTTTTATCCCTTTCTTTCTTAATTTATTTCTTGTAGTATATTGAGGGGTCAATCCTCAAAATAGAGATAAATTTAGCAAATACAACAATAATACAATACATTTTATCCTGAAGAGTTATTTTTCACTCTAAGAAGGTGGAGACAAGTCAGACAACATATTATTCATTGAAAAAATTACTATACTATCATAAGGAATTAGGAAATGTACCATTTGGGAATAATACAAATCGGGGGGGGGGGGGGGTATCTCCTTGAGATCACTTGTATCATGCACTACTGATGGCAGATTTCTCCCATATTTTGGTCAAAACTTTTAAAGATTCAGCACTTTCTTATTCCTTGTTCAACTGTTTTTAAGTATTTTGCTAAACGTTTCTCAGATATATCTGTTTCTTCTACTCCTGTCTAAAGCTACATGTATTAGACCGATAGACCCTTTTTCAAAAGTCTGAAGTTCCATTTGAGAGATTGGTAGCTCGTCCAAGCATTTTAGGTATTCTTTCACACTACAAAGTGCATGTAAGGATTGCAGTCAGGCTCAATACTTACAGGGGTACTGTACATGGCACATTTTGACACAGGACACAAGTAATTAAGCAATTAATACAGGGTTGGGAGCAATGTTTACAGACTATAATAATGTCAAATGATATGAACACCCTGAGAGAAAAAAAAACAATAATAAAGGAGTCTTATCTTGTTTGTATTTAATAAGGCTGCGACGGGTAGTCGAATGCTCGAGTACCCGCACGGTTGACAACTACTCGGGTACGATTTCTTGTACCCGAATATTCGGCCGCAAAAAAAAAAAAAAAAAAAAAAGATGTCCAGGCCCACGCTTATCCGTGCCAGGGAGAGCAGCATCCGCTGGCATGGTACCGTCGGTAAAAATGTTTCCAAACTCAAGCACTGTCAAACTCACCTTTCAGAAACTGGGACCAAATGTCCAGATTTCTGTTTGGACTTGGAGGAAAATGGATTATTCTGCCATCTTTGGTTTTTAAAACAGCATTGTTTACTGTTATTATTCTTATTAAATCGGCGCCTTCAACTGCAACTCAAAGTAAAGTTGCATGCGTTTTCAGCGAGCTGCGCGAGGGACTTGAGAAACTGCCGAGTGGTATGGTAGTGGCAAAAAAAGAAAAAAAAGGAAAAAAATCCAAAAATCCAAAAATTCAAAAAAATTCAAAAAAATTCAAAAAAATTCAAAAAAATTCAAAAAAATTATAAAAAAACATGGCGTCCGAATACTCGAGTATTCGCCTATGAGCCTGGGAGTGTACTCGGGTACCTCATTACACTGTTGTGCACAGCCCTAGTATTTAAGGGTCTTGTGGCTTGTAACTCAACAGCATTTCATTCATGTCCACAAGACTACCTGTACATAACCCTACATGTACCATAAAAACATACATGTACATACAGGTACATACAGGTACATTACACGTACATTACTGTATATGTAGATTACATGTAATGTACATGTATGTAACATCTCCACCAGTATATTGATTTCTTCATTGACTAATGCTGGTATGACAGGAAATCTAATGATCAATCTCTATCGTCAGACAGGTGCAAATCATGATCCCAATAATAGTCAAGTTCAACTCGTATTGATCAATACACAGAAATCGGTATCTCAAGGGTCTTTATTAGATACCTGATTTGTATTTTGTACACTACTACTTAAATTCAACAGCGTATCATTTTTATGGTTGGGAAACGGGACAGTGCCTACCACCAATATTGTTAATCTAAGGAGACTGCAAAATGTAAGTACAGTAAATGACTTTCACAAACAGGTTGCAAGACTTGAACTATAAATGAGACATATACATGTATGTGCATGTACATGTAAGCCTATATGTTTTTCTGGTGATAAGATCTCCACATTTTTTAAATAGAAATCAAATTCATAAGTTTGTAACTTCAAGCCATGACCCAATACCTAACCCTAATCCTAAGTATAATATCCTATTACGATATGCACCCCACACTTCAAACATAAATTTTCATGAAAATTGAAAATAAAGCCCAGAGCAAATGTGGCCACTACATGTACACACATCTCATAACCATTCAAATCTATCACATTGTAGTCTACATGTATTTGAAAAAAAATGTACAGTTATTGTTGAAAATCCTCAAGGTCTTTCTCCTTTTATAGCATTTTAGAATGACTAGGCACAATTCAACAAATGACAAACGAAAGAGATGTTTATCCTACTTTTGTTGCCACAATACCAAATGACTTTCACCTGACCCATCAAAACAAAACATGGATCATGTT